AAAAATAAAATAAAATTATTATGTTTGCTGACACTTATTGACAAAGACAATTGTACCGTAAACTACAAAATGCATTTTACCAATGCTAATCTTCCTCCCAAAGTATTAATAATAAATCAATATATGGAATTAGAGCCTGTTGTCAAATTAAGTTTGAACTCTTTGCACACACATCCATATTAAAAGAACAGCTAAATTATACAATAAAACAGTTAATACTAAATAAATGTTAAAATTGCATACAACCTCTATGACCAGCAACTAAGCAATATTTAAAAAGCTTTCGCCTTCAATTAATTAGACTTTACATCATGATCCAATTTTAAATACTGCTATGTGGCTATGTCTACATTAATGTTAGGAACTATCACATTGAAGAATACAAGCACAGCTCACAACCGGGAATGCCCATTGTACACGGTTTAATAGTTAGAGCAATATTAATGCATCTTCCATGTATTTTAAGTATTATTTAGTTTTTCATGGAATAAGAATGCATTTATGGAAGGAAAAAAAGTTGAATTTACTGTACCATATCTCTTGTTAACATATGCATCTATGTTAATATACATAATTTATTTAATTTTTCGTTTTCTTGGGTTCCCACTCACCTACCTAGAAGTGATTTCTCTGGTGATAACTAACACATCATGCTAATGAGAGAATCTAATGTGCAATAGAGAAATGTCACTACTAATAATATTTGCATGAAGTTAAATAAAGCAACTGTAAGAGAATGTCAGACAGTTGTTCTTTAATAAGATACAGTTACACAATGAAATTATGTTGTTAATTTTGTTACATCATTGAGTGAATCCTAAATTACTATATAATGACGCACAGATCCATTTATAATTCTGATATACTGCTTTTTTACTCTCACATTGAAAAAAGCTTCTGGAAAGGCTATTACCTTTTTAACTGAAGCAGATTAAACATACTTTTTCTTAACAAAAGGTACGTGGCTCTGGCATTTTGTGTCACTATGGGTTACAGCCATTTCACTTACGGTCTCATTTTGGAAATGACTTTAAGGTATTTTAGAACATTACAGCCCTTAAGGTAACTGGATGAAGAAAAATGGCATTTCTTATTCTGAAAAATGCACAAAACATTTATGAAAACAGACAATCAAAAAAGCCTGCTTTTTTAAATCAATCAAATCCAGACCTTCTTTTCTGTTGTTAACAACTCCTTGCCAGAACTAGAATGGGCAGTGGGTGCTCTGGACTTAACTAGATGAGCATGGAAGAGAAGCCAAGGGTTTCTGCTCATTCTCGACCTGTCACTGATCAAAGTGACCCAAAAAAGCACTCCTTTTAAAAAGTTAAGATTTATGCCCTTTGAGGTTATCAGACATTCTTCCGTATACAGAATGGGATGACCCCTTTCAAGCAAATCAGACACTTCTGCATGGACAAAAGGTGCACAAGGCAAAACAATGCAGTCAAGTGGCCATGTCATAAACTTCTCACAGGTAATTTAGGAGACTATCCCTCTTCACCTCTCACCCTACCAAAATCTAAATTTGCTCTGGAATGTGGAGATGCCATTTTCTTGTGCTCCTATACTCGAAGAAAATAACCCAAAAATACCATCATGCTTGCTATGAATAGCCCCAACCTGTGTACAATCAATCCTAATTTTTCTAAAACATATACAGTTCCTTGTCAATGAAGCAGGTTTTCCTTTTATTTTGAGAAAAGTTATTCATTGATACTGTGTGCAAATATCAGTGCAGCGTGTGTTGAGAGGAAAGAGGAGGGAGGAATTGCAAGGTTTTGTTTTGTTCTAAGTCATTCTTGCCACGCTCCAATCTTTGTACTAAAAACCTGCTTAAGTTACAACTCCAAGGAAAAGCGATGGGGGTCAGGGTTTGTTTGCTTCTGAAAAACATGTAGAAAGCCAGCATAATATTTAGAAATTTATAAAGAAATGTCTCTAGCATTACTATGTTTAGCTGGAAAAGTTTCATTAAACAGCTCTTTCAAACTATGCCAAACTTTGCTTGCAAGTTATGTACATTTCATAACTTCACATTATTTGTACTCATGAAAACAGTTTTTCTAAAGCATAGGAAAAATTTCAAGAATACTTACATTTTCAGAAGATGAATTGAAAACAAATAACTAAAAAATGGATGAAAATAGGTAACAGGAAACAATATTCAATTTTTTAGTGATTTAGAAAGAAACATTGGCACTTCTTAGACAGAAATTTGCAGCTGCACTTGCACACTGTCTTTGCTGATAGTCTGCATGAGCTAGCAACTTGTAACAGCTTTAACAAATCAGAAATAAAAGACAAAATATTATCCTTATAGAGGACAGAAATGCATTTAGCAAAATAATGTACCCTCCTCTTAAAAGCATGATGAAAGCATATTTGGACTGAAAACATTTAACACATGATAAACAAACAGACTATGACAAGGAGATTAACACAGTACGAGAACGCGTTAACTACAGACTTTTAAGAAATAAATCTGTTCAACATTACCACCTTTGCAGTGCTACTGTGTGTGTATTCCAATGGAATGATGCAAACTGATGCAGCGTCTACCACACATTTAGTCATTTAGTACATTACTTCTCTGCTTCTATACAGAATACACCCATGACCACATATGTTCAATAATGAAAAAAATCCAATAATTAGAACATTTTAAATATTATTTTTAAAAATAAAATAGAAACCACTACATGAACCTTACATGCAGAAATGTTTGGCTTGGTCTAATGAGCTAGTTGTCTCATACTATTTGACCCCCTTACACAATGTGATGCTCTTTTATTTAGGTTTGTTTCCTTTCTTTGTCAATGTTGAACATCTTCCAGTATTCCAGAGACCACAGAGGCTAAATCTGTTGAAAAAGGTCTAATACTAAGCAGGCAAGCTAATACTATCTATGTGGTTCAATCGTCATTTATCAATTGATCGTTATCTGGATGTAGTTACGTTAACTCCTTTGTGGCTGAATGAAAAGAACCTTCTACCCACCCCAAAAAAATTAATCTCACTTCTTACTAAGAGAATACAACAGGTAATTTCAGTAACTGTTTTCTGTGTGATTTCTCAATATCAAAATATCCATGTATGTTATGTATCACAGACATGTACACAGTCTTTTAAGCAGTGCAGTAGCAGTTCACTTTCTAGTGCAAAGCAGTGTTTTTGAAATGTGCAAATCTAGCAGGAAACTAACTTTTCTACTTTCAAGAATGGGAAATTGAACAGAGTTGCTTATTTGCTTTATGTTGATTACATTCTATACTAGCGTACTGTATCAGCAGTAATCAGGGTCCCTCTACAGGATATATCAAAATATTCCTTATTCAAATGCCTTCATCCTGTCCTGAGCTACACTGCTCAAACTGTTGTTCATAGACAATTGCTATTGGTTATTAACTATCTGCTTTGGAGTTTTTCTCAGCTTTCAAGTTTTGTGGTATTTTAACATTAAATTACTGTTTTATGGCCACTATTCAGACATGCTTTGTCACTGTAAACTATAAAAACCTAATTAATTTCCTTTTCGTTTTTTACAGTACAATGCCTCTCAGGTAAATTAGTTCATTCATCTTATGTCCAACATTAAATAAAAGTCGTGTTAATATACAAATAATTTACTAACTCCTCTTTTGGCTAACAAAATATTTCAATTATTATCAGTCAGTGTCAGACCATAATTGGAAACTAGTCTTCAGAAAGGCAAAATGTCCCCTGGCAGGGAGTTACCCTGTTAAAAACCTCCAGGTTGAACTTTCCTCCCCTGCTTGAGCTCTGTCCAAGCTGAAAGTTTCTTTTCTTTCTTTTACTTTCTTCCTTTCTTCCTTTCTTTCTCCCTTTCTTCCTTCCTTTCTTCCTTCCTTCCTTTCTTCCTTCCTTCCTTTCTTCCTTCCTTCCTTCCTTTCTTTCTTTCTTTCTTCCTTCCTTTCTTTCTTTCTTTCTTTCTTTCTTTCTTTCTTTCTTTCTTTCTTTCTTTCTTTCTTTCTTTCTTTCTTTCTTTCTTTCTTTCTTCCTTTCTTCCTTTCTTCCTTTCTTTCTTTCTTTCTTTCTTTCTTCCTTCCTTCCTTCCTTCCTTCCTTCCTTCCTTCCTTCCTTCCTTCCTTCCTTCCTTCCTTCCTTCCTTCCTTCCTTCCTTCCTTCCTTCCTTCCTTCCTTCCTTCCTTCCTTCCTTCCTTCCTTCCTTCCTTCCTTCCTTCCTTCCTTCCTTCCTTCCTTCCTTCCTTCCTTCCTTCCTTCCTGCCTTCCTTCCTGCCTTCCT